TTTTATAAGGAATCACAATTTGTCATAATCTTAATACTACAAAAAGGAGAATCAGTTTATTAAATTTTTAATAAAACATAATGTATTATAACTTTAATATTTAAAAAATCAGAATAAATGTATTTCTATTTACTAGTGTGAAATAAATATATTATAATTTATAATAAATCACAATTAAAAATAAGAAAAGAAAATATAAGATAACCTTGTAAAAACATCAAAATCTTTCAAAATAACTAGAAAAGGAACATATATTTTTTCTTGGTTCTGTACTCCAAAAATAAAGGATTGTGCACTATAACCCTTATAATAATACTAAGAACCTCTACAGACCCTGTGTTAAGGAGGGAGTGCAGAATCTTATAAAGCAGCATGGAGCTAAATTCCAGTCTTTAGGGCAATGGTCAGCTCAGCTGAACCGGAGTCTCAAGACTAGATATTTCCTTTAATACCCTCCTTCACCATGGCCTTGGCTTCTTGGCTTCATGGGAGCCAGCTCTCAAGATGAAAAGACCATTTTCAAGAAAGAAGACCCCTATTTCTTATGTTAGTTCACATCACATTTAATGTCCCGCATGAGAAATATAGAGTGCAATAAAAGAATTCAACCAAGAAAATACTTTTGCTAGTTCTCATACAAAATCAAACAGCAATATCTCATGGAGCAATTCTCATTTATCAAAAAAAAAAAAGAAACTCCTGGAACAATCCTGCAACATGGACAATTCAGTAAAGGACATACAAAACCTTTGTTGAAGGAAACTGAAAAAGAAAATCAAAGATAAAGATGCATTGGAAACTTCACGACATACAGCATGTGCAAATTGTTCCTAACACAGAATGAGAAAGGTAAAAAAATCCACACCTGATTATATCCATATGCATTGAGGCAACTACTTCCTCTTCAGGAGATAGCTCCAACCTAATTGGCCTAAAAATCATCAGAAGAAAGGGAATAAACTATTATATATGAGTTTGCAGAAACAAAGAAAAGTAAAAGAAGTAAGAGGCACATGAATGATAAAAGTGTTTCATGAAGAAAAGAAGTGAAAGAATTTTCACATTAATGGATTTTGTAGGCCTTCACGCTCTTCAGCAAATTACTTATTGAATATGTATTTATGCCTTTTGGTTTTGTGCATCAGGAAGTGTGGTCTGAAGTGGTAAGAAGAAATGAGCACTTACTGTTTGATAGAAAACATGGCTCTTGATAGAGCCATATTCTAGTGGTTTCCATTTATAGAATACCCCCAAAAGACAAGCTTTACTAGCCATCATAAAGAGATTCCAAACTAGATCATAAGTCCAACCTAGCAAATCACTCCACCTTCCCTCAAGGATCTTTCAAACCTTGCTTTCTCCCTTCCATTTCCGTTTTGGAAACCATGTCATGGAATTGTTAAAAATTACGTTCTTTTTATACGAAAGTATCCGTTACACCCAATATCATATATTCTGTGAAAAACAAGAAGTTAATGCAATTTAAATTTGATCAGGGGAACTATCTACTTACTGAAGCAAAGGTTGTTGGTTCAAGACAGTTGTTTGAGACAGCCTCTCAAAATTGAATTTCTCATCTGCAGCATGCTGAAATAGAAACATATTTACCAAATGCCCTTCTAAATTAAGCTTCCATCGTCTTCATCCCAAACAATCCAAGTCATTTACCTACTACTTAAAGAAATATACATATTCAATAAGTAATTTGCTACAGCTAGCATTGCAACCTGAAGAGGAAAGTTACCTGATCTACAATGAAGAGGTCTTCATCTATTTTTCCAATGATAAAACCGAGATTGAATTGCCCAATAACCTATAAATGGAAAGCACAGTTACTTATCACCAAACCACGGAATAGAACATATAGAAAGATTAGTAAACCAATGGATACAGGAACAACTGAAATGTCTTAATATATTAATGAAGAGCTGAAAATCAGGTCGCTAGATATTCTTAATATACTAATGAAAACAGCTTATCATACCAAATCCTAAGGCCACATATCCATCTGATCTGGCAGAGTAAAAATAAATTTATTTACTTTTGCAAGGGTGTTAGGAAAATAATTAGATTCTAAAGAGAAAGAAAACCATTGCTCAGTTGTACATCATGTGTGTGTGAGAGAGAGGGAGAGAGAGAGACTATTGAACAAAAAGTTTATACAACAACCTTCATTCTGCCAAAATCACTTTTATTGAAGAGCCTTTCCAACTCGGAGGTTGCTGCAGCTAGGGCCTTCACTTTTCTATCATCATTTTCTGGCTGAGAAAGCTCCAGTGTCGCAGCAGTATAGCACCTATAAATGACCATTTTAAATGAGTAAATTAATCAAGAGAAGGGGACATTATATTGGTAAGGGATGACCCAATATGGAAAAGTAAAATGATATCTAAACTGAAAGGAATGCACCTATATTGGAGAACCACATATCATCTCATGTTCTTCACTATTGGTATGCAAGGGGTTCAGGGGATACTCTTTCTTTTTATTTTAATTCCTTGTATGAATAATGTATAAGTGGTATGTCATATGGACGATGTTAGCACTTTTGGTTTTTGCTACCCTGTGCACAACAGCTGGTTGTACAGAGCTATAGATTTGACCAGACCCATATATTTTTGCTAATACATGATACTTTACTCCAAAAAATAAAAAAGAAAAAAGGTAATTTAGCTATTGACTATTGTATAAAAGCCTATGAGAAAGACAAATATTTGCAATATATAGAAGTCTCTTTTCTACTTCTGCAGAAGAAATTTAAAAAAAAAAAAAAAAAAGCATACCAATTTTCTATTTTTACACAAAAATCAACTTACTGACCTTTTATTTGTCATTTTTCCATTTGTAAAACTKCTACCTTGCAACCTTGAGAGCCTCTTTTTCCTCCTTGTTTTTAGATCTTCGATACTAAAATGCAAGGTGGAAAATATCTCTAAACCAGAAGAAGGCATTGGTGAATCTGAAGTCACCTTCGAGGATTTTAATACTGGATCTGGCTCTTGAGGCTCTTCTGATACATGTTCAATTTGCATACCCGGCAAAGCATTTGAATCAACATTAGCATGTTGTAATGCCTTCTCTTGACTTTCTAAATCCTTCAGGAAATAAAATAAAATAGTTAGTCCCCAAAAGAGTGTCAAAAAATTCCAGTGGCCATCATAAACTATACCAGACATGTACCTAAAAATTTTTACATATTTTCCATCCCCATAATTAGCTTTTCAACCCTCTAGACTTTTACCTTACCATAGAATCTACGGTTCTCAGAAATTTGTCCCAAAACCCATCCAATCCCAGAAAATCCCTAATAGTAGTCCAAAGATCATCTCTAAACCCTTCTAAAACCATCATTACCCTCCTAGTATCATGGCTTGGGTCATTCTTGTCCTATATCAATTTGATGCTAGAGCAGCCAGTCCTATACTAGTATATTTTGCCAAGTAGAAATAGCATTATCATCCTTTTTCTGGCAAGCTGTCAAGTAATTATTGTATTAGTATAGTTTAAAATGATCATACTGAAAATTGAAATGTAATTTTAACCGAGAGTAGTGTGTCTGAGACTCTTGAAAGTTACCATGGTACACCAGTAGCAAAGGTGATTTTATAAGAGATCCTTCTTACAGTCTTTTTCAAAGCTTGAGAAAAAAATGAATCAAGAACTCTTAGCTACACAGTACACACAACACAAAATAGTAAGCACTTTAGAAAAGGGTCGTGATGGTGGCTTTCTCAGAACAAGTTTCCTCCATAGGTTAGACCTGTTTGCTTTTGAATTTTAACTCTGATATTAATAGAACGTTTTGAAGCTCCACTGCAGGGATTGTAGTCCATATAAACTGAATAAAAGATTCCATTAACAATAGTGTTTACATGTTTATATAATCCCAAGTGTAAATGCAACTCATTCTATCAGTCCCTAATTTAAAAGTTCCAATCAGACAGGTTTAGCCTTAGGAGAACTTCATGCGCTCTCTTAATGAGGCTAAATTCATGACCCTTCAACAAATTAAAAAGGGCAGCTCAGTGCACAAGGCTCCCGCCAATGCAGGGTCTGAGGTTGTGGGAGTCTCGTGCACAGGGCTACAGTGCTTAATACAGGATAAAGAAAGTGGATCAAGGACCAATGCACTAAAAAACAGAAGAGTACTTGTTAGTTGTTACTTCACTGAAACTATGTATGTAAGAAATAACAAGTGAGAGTTATATCATAAGCTTTGCATAACTACCCACTATGGTACAATATGAAACGGTCTATTTTTGGCATTGACCTATTATACAACCTTCAAACAGTTAATCATCCTTACAAACAACTGAGAGTTATATCATATGTTTTGCATAACTACCTACTCTGGTGCAATATGTAACTGTCTATTTTTGGCATTGACCTATTATGCAACCTTCAAACAGTTTACCATTCTTACAAACCGAGACAATTCTAAATAAAGGCCATTACCCTATTTTTGATCATTAAGACCATTACCCAATGTTTGTCCCAACTATCAAGGGTCTTGGGAGGGGTGAACCAGATATGGACCTAACCTTTGGCTTTTTTTCTTGGCATAAAGAGGCTGTTCTCAAACTCAAACCTGCATTCTCACACTTGTCAGCCCAAGATTATACCTTTGCACCAAGCTAGTCCAGACAATTCTAAATAAGAAACCATAAACAATTAGTGTTCAGTTCATGGTAAGAAACTGGGTGAAAATTTTAGCAGGAAAATCCAAAAAGTGGCTGTTATTTCCTTGGAAGAAAGTGAAATGCAAAGAAGCTTGGAGAACAGCAGGGACTGGGAGAGATTTTGAGCTTTAGGTAGATCTGCAATTAGATCCATTGGAAAAAATCATTCCAACACCATTGTGAATTATTAAATATAATACCAGAAAAGGGAATGGCAGCATTTATGGTTACTTATTAACAATAACAAGATGATATTTTGATGATGGCATACTTTGCAATTATTGGATTCACAACAAATCAGCAATCTTGTTTCTCTACTGTTTTCCTATAATACATAGTGATATTTTATCATTTCCAGCCTTAAGTCTACAATCTTTTAGATCATATTAACCACTAGAACAATTGCTTTTGCCACATTTCACCAAGGTTGAAAATATTGCAACATATTAATGCTTATCGTACAATATGCATTGGTCACCAAAAAGCACTCCTCCTAACATGCTCAACCCTAAAACATCAGACTGAAATAATAGAAAAAAAAAGGTACTGCATTTCCCTCTAAAAATGTGGAAAACACAATTTTTGTGTTTCATGCGTATCAATACTTTGAACCATGTGTTTCACTTCTGAGCATAGAAGAAAATCTTCCAAAATTTACCTTTTACAAGTAAGCATATCATGCAATAAAACTTATCTATCAATAGCGTGTATTTCACTGTGATTACAGCATCCCTATGAATAACAAAATAATCAGCACAATATATAGCAAACCTGTAGTAAGGATGTTTAGAACAACTATAATATGAAAAGTAAATTGATTGTTCTTCATTTTCTCTCTTTTTTCTTTTAGTAAAGGAAAAAACAAAAAGCTATTCCGAAAAGGGAGAGGGGGGAAGAAGAGGCAAATCAAATACAGAATTTCAAATACCTTTCCAAATCCAACATTGTTAACATCTTCTCCAGAATAAAGCGAGTCTCCCATTGCATTTGGCACACAAGATGCTCTACAAGTTATAGAAGATTCATTCTCATTACCTTCATCAGAATCGTCAATCTGATGAAGATTAAAAAGTGACTCTGATGGTGACTCTGATGATGCAGTATGCATAACAGAGTTGGTTTTCCTCATTTGACAGCGAGCTACTTCATTTCTTAGAACAGGCACTTCAGACAGTACCGTACAGCTATTTTCATGCTTCCTCTTATTTACAGTTACAAAATTGGTTATTGAAGACTTAACAAAACTCAAATGACTTGACGAATTTACATTTCCAATGGTATCTTTTCCCACTGCCTTTGAAGGACAAGGAGAATGATGACAAACCATGGCACTAGGCATGGGAGTTCTCAGCTCTTTATTGTGATACCCAGGAGAACCATCACCTTTATCTCCAAAATGAGCTCTAAGAGAAAAGTCCTTTTTTTTGGGACTTTTGCACTTAATATGAGCCAATTGTTCTCCCATACATGAATCTTCAATGCCCTTTTCTACCACTTTTAGTGGGCTGACATCCTGTGTGGTTTCTTCTTCCACAGGCTTTTCCTCGTGGTATGCTGTTTCCTTATGTTCATCATCATCTGGGGATATTCGTTGAGATGATATATGAAACTCCTCTTGAGTAAATAACTCAGTGTTGCATGCTTCCTTCTTAGACTCCTCTAATCTGTTAACAGAGTAAATACAGCAATTTGGGGAATAGATCCTTTCTAGAGCTTCCCTTAAAGAATTTATAAGTGAACATTCATCAGAAAAGAAAATTTTCCTTTTATCAGGAGTTACATTGACATCATATGCTTTAGTTGGTATGATAAAATTCAACACTGCAATGGGGTATTGCCGAGAGTTCGAACTCTTATATAATTCATTCATAAGCTTGCTGACTTTAGGGATATCTACTGGCCGGCCATTGACAAAAAAGAACTGTCTATCCCCTAAATTACGTCCACTGCCATGGCCAGGCTTAGAAAGGTAGCCCTCAACTTTGTAGCCATCTGATATAGATATACTCAAAGGCTCTAGACATTTGAAGGTATTCATGCCAAATACTGTTATGATGTTGTCTTTAAGAGAATTGCTTCCTTGCGTTTTAAGCACCATAGCCTTTATGTTCTTTCCAGTTGTGTTGGTGCAAACTAATCGAACTCCTTTCGCAATAAGAGCATATGCCTGAAAATCAGGAAAACAATGTTAACTAAATCATCAGAACAAGTTAATATAGTCAATAGTTTAGTGTTTGTTCAGCTAATTCCAACGAGAGTGAAGAGTGTGTGCAATGGAAATGATCTCCTTACCTAAGTTTAAGTGAATACCGTACTCAATCTTGAATTGGTTCAATGCACATAGTTTTTCTCAAAATATGAAAACATATAAAAGATCGAGTATATACTCACCAATTAAGAAAAATCTCATGTGGAAAAACAAAATAATCTACTATAACACCCAAGTGCAACATGGAGATGGTAGCAGTGACAAAACATGTCCAAATAATCTAGTCGTCAAGTGTAGTAACAATAGATAGCTAGAAAATCCAAGGGAAAAATATCTTATCATATATTGAAGAAATATCATGCTTTGAAAGGGGAATAAGTAACTGTTATGATAAAAAGATACAAGTCTGAACTCAAAATTTTGCAGCAAGGGAAACTTCAATTAGACCTATTGTTGACCAGATTGGAATACACGACACATAGACACATTATGATAAAAGGGCAGCCCGGTGCACAAGGTTCCCACCAATGCAGGGTCTGATTAAAGTTTCGTTGTGATAAATAACGAAAAACAAAGGTTTGGTTACTTGCTTAAATCTCAGAGAGTACTGTAAGAYACTTCATAAACAGCTATGAGAGGAGGAATATATCTCACGTTCAGTAAAGAAATAAGTTTCCCATATTCTCTTCGGATGTTGCGACTAAACTCCTTGCCTCGCACTGGTAAGGTAGAGAACAACTTATCAACAGTGACAGTGGTACCAATTTGACGCGCTATTTTCTTTTCAGATATCAGTAAGCCTGAATGGTCAAAAGTCAAGTGTGTGGCGGCTGGTTCACTTTTAGTTCTTGTTTCGACTGTCAATTTCCCAAGCGCACAAAGAGAACTAAGTGCCTCCCCTCTGAAGCCAAAAGTTGCCAAAGATTGGAGATCAGGAAAATCTGCTATTTTCGAAGTATGGTGCTTGAGTGCAAGAACCTGCCACAAGTACAGGTTAAAAATTACCAAAATTATTATAAGAAAAGCACTATTACACGATGAGCCGACCTCGACAATCAAAGATAAATTCATAAATCGAAACTTACAACTATAACGCATAGATACAGTAACAATGATTCACGGACATATAACATGACAGAGATCTTTTCCTTCTAAAGCGTGCAGAAATCAAACTAGAACTACGAATTTGGTAATAAATACCTTGAAATTATTAGGTGAAATGCCACACCCATTATCAATAACCTTGAAGGATTCTTCACCATATTCTTTCAAAGCAATTTCGATGCTGCTCGCACCTGCATCCAAGCTGTTCTCAACTAACTCCTTCACTGCAGACGAAAGATCTAAAATCACTTGTCCTGAGCAAATCCTGTGAACTACAGACTTATTTATAGGCTTAATAGTTGGAGAATCAACCGAAGCTACACCCTCCATTGAAGCCAAGCGAATGGAATCACATTACCGCCTATATGCATCAAATACTAATAAGATCTTGTCAATTCGACCAAGTAGAATCCGCCATCAGACACTCGCTCAGATTACCCGAATGAGTCCTCGGACTTTTGATTCAGAATTAAAAAAGGAACTGCATTTCTTCTCGCATGCGTAAACCCTAACTAGTATAAACTATGACTTCAACAATGTTACAGAAATCCAAAAGACGCGAAGAAAAAAAAAAAAAGAAAAACAGATGAACTTATTAGGCTGAGATTAGCGAACTATTATAAACCTTTTGCCGCCAAAACTGTCGCCTGCTTCTTAAATAATTTACCAGTGCGCGAAGGACGAAAGAATTACTCGAAAGCTCGGTGCAGGCATGAAGCAACGGGCCAACGGCAATAACAGCTGACGAGATTGGGCTGTCAATGGGTCGTGTCTACCCGATAGACCCGAACCGTCCGAACCGTATTTATCAGTTCTGGTTCTATGATTCATTCCGGGTCGGTTCTGGTTTTATTTTATGTATCCCGAACCGATTATATATACATGTTTTAGAGTTATAAGTATACCTAAAATTGTAATTTTAATTTTAACACCTAAAACCCTTGAGCTCAAAACCTTTTGGCCTTTTACCCTTTTGTTTTGCTTTTGCCGCTTGAGGCTTTAGTTTCTAAAGTTCTATTCGTCATTTCTCTTTCTTAAGAAAGTTTCTCATCATCGTCTCTGCGTCTCACCACCGACTCAGTCATCACCATCTCCTATACACTAAGCTCTACCATGGACAAAGAAAAAGAGAATATGGGATAGAAGAAAAAAAGTTTATCACAATTTAAATGAACGGCTAGTAAGTGGRCTCTAGTTTAATTGCTGGATATTTCAATTCTTGAATAAGGAGGCAATCTGATTTCAAGATCACTCGATATATGCAGGTTTGCTTAGTTTTTTCCCATTAGCTTCAATTTAATTGCTATTATTTTGTTTTTAGCAAGGTTAAACTGAAATTATATAGGTTTATAGGCTGTTTACAAATTGATTTTTAGCAAGATTATATAAGTATAACAGGGTGTTTTTTTTACAAATATCCTACTGATATTATGATAACAAGTTATTGAACAAAATGTTCTTTTCTTATCAAACTAGCATCAAATAAGTCCTTTTTTGCTGTTGTATTCATTAATAATATTAATTAATTGATATATATATATTATTAATATGGAATATTTTATCAAAAACTATAGGTCTTACCATCTTAAGTATGGGTTTTTATTCAATCGGATCCAATTGCATTAGACTCTATTATTCCGATTGGCCCATCAGTTTAATTCCAGTTGTGAAATAATAGAACCGGTCGGGTCTGATTCGATTTTGATACTATCAATTTTATCAGTCGATTCAGAATGATTCTACCGTGTCTCGAACCAGACCCGAACCATTGACAGCTATGGACAATAATACTCTTACGGTGTTACCTACCTACAACTCATGGGCTTTACGGATCGAATACCAAAAGGGGACTGGCCCATCCTTAACCCCAATCTTGTTAATATGTGTTCACTATTCAGGCATGTGCCAGATTAGGCCGAGCAGGACTTGCCCGTATAAAAAGAAAATTATGTTTTTAATTAAAACTTCAGTTAAGTTTACAATCAATATTATAAAAAGTAAAGTATACACAATGTTATAATATATTTAAGACACGGGATATATAACATTCGAGTCAGGCTAAGCTGGCCGGGCCCATATTTTATGTGTGGATTTGACAGCATCTTTATCTTTTAAAAATTCAGTTTTACTCCATTCCTTCCATCTCCTTTTCTTTCTCTTGCTCCATGGTTGGTTAGTACTGGTGGGTGTTTGGCATGAATGACACATCAGCAATTAAATGAAATTGACAAGAAAATCGCATTTAGCAATCTTATTTAAAAAAAATAAAATTTGCAATGATTAGATATATGATTCATAAAAGGATGGGTTTCTTGAGTCTTCAAATTAACGTTTCTTGAATTGCCTTGATGATTTTGAATCAATAAAGTGGTGTGGCACATTGAAATTTGAAAAATCATACTTTTTTTTCTGAAATGTCATGCAATTGTCATTATAAATATAATATAATATTAAGCCAAATCATTTTAAATGCTCTATCAGCCCATGTCTCAAAATACCGGCAAATTAGGGCCCACTTATAAAATGCTCTGATGCAAAACACCCACCTAGTGAGTACTTATTTTGGTTGTAGTGCACTTTTATTTGCGCTAGTATAAATGCATGGGAGTGCAATTTAAAAGAATGCAAATTCTGATTTAATTTTATTTTGGTATTTTACTCTGTTTTGCTTCAATTCTTGCTTTACTTCATTTGTACCACAATCAAACAAAACAAGGTAAAATTAGAAATAAAAATAAATCATAATTCCCACCAAAATCATTTGCACTGTCATGGTTTTGTGTCAATGCAAATAAATTCGCAATGTAACCAACCATAGCCATGAAGGGTTTAGTAAATGTCAACAGATGAGTTTGAGGAGTGCATGCCTCCTTAGTCCCTAGACATCTCAACCCATACCCTCCCCAAAATCTATAGCAAGTTGTGTGTGACTCGATGACACAATTGGAGCGGAGAGAGAAGGGTTGTGTAGAACTTGGTGGGGCCCAATGTCATGAGAGAGATGTGTGGATTTTATTTAAAATAATAATATTTTTATTATAATGAAGACATTTTTTTTCTTTTTCTTTCTAACAAAATCCATTAAATAAATAACTCAAGTAACCAATATTATTGTAGCCCCTAGCCCAAATAAAATTTAGACTTCTTTGTTTTCTCATTAACCCCTAAAGTGCAAGGCCCCTTTTTAGTGTTGTATAACTCTACTTTAAATTCAGAGCTTAGGATCACTCGTCACATAGGTTGGCTTAATCATAAGATATAACTGAAATAAAAGTTGAATATATGACTTTCTAGATGTGTATGGAGGAAGTTAAATAAAACTAAATAGGACAATCCTACTAGTGTATAGAGTAATTTGTTTTATCCTTTTATAATTTCATATAAAAAAATATAAATTTGAGGTACAAGTACCTCAACTTCAGTGCTTGTTAATATACTTACATAGGCAAATGATTTTAAGGCAAGAGTTAGTCGAGTAAATTGTAGTGGCAATGTTTGGTCGCACTGATGCTTACACAAGTGATGAGGGCAGATTTGGCCCTTCAATGATATTGTAACACATGGTACCTCGGAACAACTAGGTGACACTTGGAACCACTTAGGCAATAATTTGCCTTAGTCAAGTTGATGGTGTCCCACCTGGCAGCTTGGCCCAGGCGCGACCTGGCGGCTTGGCCTTGACGTGACCTGGCGACCTGGCCCAGGCGCAACCTAGCGGCCTGGCACAGACGCAAACTGGCAGCCTGGCCTAGGTGCGAACTGGCAGCCTGGCCCGGGCGCCGACCTGGCGACCTGCGAGACGTGCTCGCCGACAAATTTAGCATGCATATCCTAACACTCCCACGATCCTTGGAAGTTGGCCCACGTGCCGAACGATCCAGAGGGTGGTCAACATGCATGGCGGTTGCCTCAGGGAATCTCGGACCACTTAGACGACTTCTCGGAAATCTCGGATGTGGTGCGTGAAGCCCACGCCAAACAATGCTTATATAAAGGCACAAACCCCAATGGCATAGGGGGCAAGTAAACATATTCTAGCTCTCATACTTTGTGATTTTTAGCTCGCAGTCTACTATGAGAGTACTGACTTAAGCATCGGAGCAACCTCGCCGAGTTAGCCACCCCGGGTCCTCTGACATTGATTCCTTGCAGGTCTCTAAAGAACTACGAAGCTCAACAATCAATCCAGCTCGGCAACTATAGGCAGCTCGGCCCTCTGGTCAACTCGGCACTCTGGTTAGCTCGTCACCTAACCTACCTAGCTCAGCCCAGTCAGCTCATCACCTAACTTGCCTAGCCCGGCCCAATCAGTTCGACACCTAACCTGTCCAGCTCGGCCCAGTTAACTCGGCACCTAATCTGCCCCCAGCTCGGCCTGGTCAGCTCGGCATCCAGGTCCTCATCCAGCAAAAGTTCACTTTGGCCTCTGAGTCATCGGCCACTTGGAAGCAGACCAAATGACAAGGTACTTAGCACAAAAAATTGATACATCACCAAAAATTGATTCATCAATTGGCGCTGTCTGTGGGAAACGCTACAAAAAGCTGAGTTCTCATCCTCCGAAAGGCTAAGTCCTCTTCTTCTAGAAAGCTAAGTTCTCACCTTCTAGAAATTAAAAGCTCTCACTTTCTAGTTTCCATTTTTTTATGAACTCAAAGACTATGCAGGATGTTGATGGCCAACAGACTAAGTAGTTCTACCAACTTTATTTCAACTCGGATAAAGCCTCATTAGTCCTCTTCGCGAGGTACCCTCTACAAAGATGAGCTCTTCGTGGATTCCACGGGAGTAGGCGGCCAACAGATTGCATGGACGCCCCTGTCGGTCGAGCCTTCCAAGGCTCCCATGCGAGCTGGTGACCTAAAGTCAGTAGTGCTACCCCCGTAGGTCGAGCTCCTAGTAGCTTTCTATAGGAGTGGGTAACCGACGTCACTAACGAGGCTGATGCAGCGCAACCATAGCTCTAAGGTGCCAAGCTAATAAAAGACCTCGGCACCATATAAGACCCAGTCGTCTCTTCGGCATGGACAAAATCAAAGATCAAGGAGAGTGGACTACGAGTCGCTCCTAGAGCCTAAGGGCTAAAGTACCGAACTGGCAAAGATTTTGGCACCACATAAGACCCAGTCACCTCTTTGGCATGGGCAAAATCAAGGGTAAGGAGAGTGGACTACGAGTCGCTCCCAGAGCCTAAGGAATTGAACCGACACTTACGAGCTCATCGAATTAGTCATTTCAAGCCAAAAGGAGCAATCTACTCCCTTCACCGAGTTACTTTCAGCTCGGGAGTGGGGGGCAAATGATGAGGGCGGATTTGGCCCTCCAATGATATTGTGACACATGGCACCTCGGAACAAATAGATGACACCCGGAACCACTTAAGCAACAACTTGCCTTAGCCAAGTTGATGGTGTCCCACCTGGCGGCCTAGCCCTAGTGCCGACCTAGCGGCCTGCGAGACGTACTCACCGACAAATTCGGCATGCATATCTTAACACTCACACGATCCTTGGAAGTTGGCCCACGTGCTGAACGATCTGAAGGGTGGTCAACGTGCATGGYGGTTGCCTTAGGGAATCTCAGACCACTTAGATGACTTCTCGGAAATCTCAGATGCAG